GGTTCAACGGAGCGGTGCGGATTGTTTTGGTGAAAACAAACACGAATCTCCAGCCATAATCTCCAGAATGAGCGGCGCGAGGCGGACGCTCCTCAAATGCCAAAGGGCTCTGTGGTGCTCCAGCTTGCATTGGAAGAGGGGCCCATGGCTTGTTGGACCGAACAAATTCGGCACTCGAGTTTACTCAAACGTCGTAACAGAGATTCGAGCACTCTCTGCTACAGGAGGCAATGAGCAAGGCACCTTCCAGAGAACGGCACGAAAGTCCCTCTCCGCCCAATGCCTAACTTCGTTGTGAGCCGACGTTGTGAATAGCACGCCACTGCACTTTACACGACTCTTTTGGTGGCGTGTGCAGTCGCATGTAATGAGATATTTTGTAAGCCCGAGAGCTGAACATTGACGGCAGGCCTGTGGGGGGTGGAATAGACAACCTAAATAATTTATTTAATGATTTATTATTTATGTATTCCACCATGATTTTTGAGTACTATGCATCCACAACACAAACACCGCTGATTTTTTTTACTGCCTGTTTATTTATTTAAATCCTTTTTGGTATTCCTTGCAGTCGAGCCCATTTGCAATAACATCCTGTAGGCAAGCCGCAGTGCAGAGCATACAATGAAGAAAATCTGCGCAGCTTTTTAACGCACAATACTCAAAGGCTACCAGGTGAATGTTATTTTGTTTTGCATTTTTGCCACAAAATGTATCATATTCATCTTTTTTCTACATAAACCAATATCCACGTTGTGCGGGTATTTATTACTTTTAGCAGACATTTGTTGAAGCATAACATTTTAAGTAAATTTAGGTAAAATTTTAAGAGAATGTGCACACCTTTGCAATAATTGTATGTTTTTATTTTCATCTTCATTATTTAATGCAGAGATTTTAGGCCACGTAATTTGTTTTCTCCCAGTGTTGAAAGAAATACATGATCATGTATTTTCATACATCTCTGGAATTTTTATTGGTTTGCCATGAACGTTTGTTACATTTTACGAATGGAAACTTACATTTATTTTGGTCAATCTTGGTAAAAGCTGCATTCGTTCAAAAGAAAATCTGGCCCAACCAAATGTGGCTAGCTTTGGTGACCTATTCCCAATTTGCAGCGCGTGTTGTTCGGCACCGACGTCCGTCGTTTCACTCCACACGCGAAGAGCTTCTTCAGGAGCTGAACAGAGCTCGCTTCCTCCGCAAGCGAACAAAGTTGCCAGCAGCAGCATCCGCTCAGTACTTGCGCGCATGTACATGACGCTGGAGAAATGTCACTCATTATGCACGCAAATTGTTTTCTTTTTTTCGGGCAGTGTTATCGACAGACGTTTTTATTCGCGGGAAACACTCGAGTGGCAGTGCTATACACTGTTGGGTGTGAGAAGTGCAGAAGAGGCATCTGCGTAGGATGCGTCCTCGCGTTCATTCACATCATCTGTCCGTCTGCAACACCCAGGTGCTAAACAGTGTGGCCACCGTCAAGCTTTTACTCGGCGGCATCCTCCCAGCCCCTCCCTTGACCTCCCAGCCCCTCCCTTGACCTCCCAGCCCCTCCCTTGACCGCACGAGTGTCAGACCGCGAGAATCGCTGGGCACGTTGAGAGGCGCGCAAGAGGGCAAGAAGGGTTCTCTTCTAACGCACCAAGCAGCAGGTTCACCACTTTTACACCTCGCTTGTCTAAACCGCCTCCACCACCCCTCTCCCCCTACCAAAACAAACTTCAATTGGTTTCGTACTTGGAAGCGCACGTAAAACCCAGCCGAAAGTTGCATTGGGTGTAAGGTCGGAGCAACGCTGTGGTCTCACGCAGCTCCTGGCAACGCGTAACACTAACGGCGAATGCAATGAACCGACTCCTCTCTACACCACAAGGGCTATTCTCACCAGGTTGAGCCAGCATACAGAGCACTGTGAATATTGATGGAATGCTGTGTGAAAAAAAAATCTGTAAAGGTTATCGTTTACAAGTTAACCTAAGTAGATAAAAAAAAAACACTGCATGAGTTTAAACAGAAATTGCTTCGGTGGTAAGTACTATTATACAACATTTACAGCAGTTACATTTTATTGATTTAATAATTATGTTTTTGACACGGTGATTTCTGGAAGCCGACACTCGATAAAAGGTAAAGGGGCAGCACTGCAGCGAGTCGCTCAAGCCACTGCTGACAGAAAGGCCTCCAATAGGGGGACCCCTCTGGAGCCCCTATAGACGACATTTGGCCTACTCTTTCACGCCGGCCAGACGTCTTTGATAGAGGTGGGAGCACCCACAATTCATCCCACCAGACACAACCTGTCAATCACACTACTGCGGCGTGTATTCGTTTATTCCGATGGGTGGACAACTGCGGCACCGGGATATCGAATTGGACGGGCGACTTCTGAAGTCGAAAACCAGTGTACTGACCTTTTCAGAAATAACCGAGGTCTATATTGTAGCAAAATGAGTATACTCGCATTATAAGTTTAACACGGGGTTTAATTTTAAATTATCGTGCTGCGAATGTTGAAAAAGGCCCCCCCACCCCAATTCATTTTTGTTCCACATGCAAAAGACATTCAAACCCTCTCATTACAAAACAGATCACGATGGCTCCTTCGTCCAAACAGCTTCTCAGAAACACCACGGCAGCTAGCTAAAGCAGATTAAAGGATTCCATTAATCACCCGTTGCTAAAGCTTCTCAAGGGCTTATGCTAAGCCGCTTTCACACCAGTGCATGATGGGACCGGTTAGGATTTTGATCATCTGACCACCTCGGGGAATTCGGATTACGCCCAGGCAGTGCAGACAAGAACCTATCTCTATAATCCTACCTTTTGGCAGACTGCAGTCACAAAGCCCTACTTAAAAAGGTGGTTTTAGGCAATGAAATATTTAAGGACCATTCAAAGAGTAAGCTCTGTTCAAAGATGTTTTTGTTTAACCAACGAAACTGTAATGAATAGCCAACCTTCCCCGAATTTTTTTTACATTTCTCCCCCTATATTGAACGTCATATTGAGCAGCAAGTGACACTAAAGCTTCCTACTGTGATGATTCGCATCCCATCAAATACGAGGGTTAATTTGTTTCCTTGACAAATTCCACTTTTGTGTGCAGAAGCACATGTATTTTAGTTTGTTAAACTCAGAATTAGATCTGGCAGGGGGAGCTGGTTGTCTTTTGGCTCTTATTGACAAACACTTGGCACGAGGATATTGATGTTTTATATTATCATTGCATTAAATTAAGAATGGATACGTCAAAAATCCCATGACGTAGACTCCATCATCTGCAGTCACATGGTCTGCCCACACGCCTGAACAGAGCGCAGGATATTCAAGGTGCAATGTGGCATGTGCTTCAAAGCCACACATCCTGGGAGATCAGCACTCTTCAGAAACGACGAAATAAATAATGAAAGGCACTTGACGCTTTGTTAAATTATTTAAAGTTTGACCACAAGGGTTACGATTTGCATTTTGTGTACGAGCTCATGAACACAATGCATACACAAACAACACACCACAAACATTCCCTCCAATAGCAATCATAATTGTGCATGCATTTCGTCCTCTCATTTTAACACGTTTGCTAAGTTAACTCACCCTCGGACCAAATCGCCCAAAATGTGTCCAACGTCATCAGACCTTTAGGACTCTGAGCTGGTTTGAGCCTGGATAGTGCCTGGTGTTGGGTGACCGCCATAGAAAAAGCAGATGGTGCAGGCTGTTGTGATGTTTGTCAGAAGTGGAGTGCAGTGCAAAAATATCCAATATTCTTTGGGTCTTTCGGTAAAGTCACGTAGATAGGTTAAAATTAATGAAAAAAATGTTTACCTATCAACGTGACTTTACCCAAAGAATATTCATTCCTGCAGTCACGAAAACTTTAAGTCAAGAAGAAATGGCCAATGTTTTACGATGCTCCTATGTCTCCCGCTTCATGTCTTCGCCTACACTAAGCAGCATGGTGAAGTATGAAAAAATATTCCCTGCAAATGGTAATGGCTTGGGGCAGGCTCTCATCCAGCAGTGGATTGACAAATGGGCTGTGCATACAAAGTAATGCTGCGGTAGCCTGACGTCGCTCTTGGACTTTATTTATTATTATTTGTATATGAAACTGACACATACGTTTTACATGATTTACTTTTTTTTGTTGTTACCGCATTCTCCAGATTAAAAGACACACCCCCCGCCAGGTTTTGCTTTAAAACATAGGGTGAAAAGGTGAATCTTACAGCCTGTAGATTACAGTAATGTGTAAGTTGTTACACTACTTATAGCCCAAAATAGTAAAACATTCAAAGCTTAATAAAAAGGGTTCATGTTCCATGGTGCAAACCACAGCAAGCATGTTTTCAGCAGACACACTTCATCTATATAAATCCTATACTGTATTTGTGGCACACTTGCTGCTGCTGCTACTACTACATGTACAATATATTTCACACTGTTTGGGAAGTCGAATTTATTAGCCATGTGGTGACATCTGGGAGTTCAAAGCTGTTGAGAACTTTGAATAAAATAAAAATTTTGCTTTTCAAATCAATGTAAGTAAGACAAATGGAGAGAGTGTATCAAAGTTTAAATCCAGACATCAAAGTTGCTGCATACTGCGTGAAGTCATTATGCAAGATTGAAGCGATATATATGCCTATTTATTAGTTAAAACAAGAACGACAGAAATCACTATTATACCTCCAGAGGAAAGTATCGTAAACATGTCATTTGTCAGCGAAAGTGACCTTGCTTCAAGGGATAACATTCTTAAAACTACAGCAATGGTACTGGGGCATGCCCCTGGCAATAAAACCAGAAAATTAATCTTTTATAGCTGAATTTGGTGCTTGCCGTTTGCAGTGCTGGGGACAGATGTGTGAAATAAATAATATTAAGTATCTGGGTGCAGTTGGAATTCTAATACTTTCTGCATGTCAGGCATAGGCATAAATCTTAAGTAACCCCATTTGAAGACCATTAAAATATGAAAACTGGATTCAACGTTGTTGTAATGAAATATTTAATATATACATTTTTTACAGTAACAGGCAGTCTTTTAAAATATGGTAACAAAAGAAACTTCAACAACAATGCAGTTTGCTGCCAACAGTATGGAAATGTACAATCCAGACATCAGCTTTTGAGATACCAAAATGACTAAACAAGCGCGCACAGGGGGACACGTTCAAGTTTAGTGCAACAATAATAAAGATTCAGGCAAGACCTAAACAGCAGAATATCAAAGTTTAACCCACAATTAGATATTTCAAACTGTACACACCCAAATGGGAGACGCTCACAAATATAGTTAAACATTTTAGGCCTGCGTATACGCAACATAATTCAGACCATTATTTACAAAGAAGGTTTGATTTTAAAAATCTGAAAACTAAATGCCACTGCGCTGGTTGAATAACTGCTATCAATTAATGTTCACAAAGCAGTATTTTTTATATATATATTTTGTTCAGCTAGGAAAAAAAAGATCACATACCTATACATGTTTCTTAAAACTTCGAGTTGCTTAAATCACATTTAGTAAATTACTTCATACAGAGTAGCTTTCTTGTCCCCGGACCCAGTAACTATGTACTTGTCATCCACAGAGATGTCGCAGCTCAGGACTGATGAAGATTCCTTGGACTGGAAGAAAGAAGAAACAACAATCGTAGTTTTGCTGAACAATATAAAAAGGAAAAAACCCAAGCACTTTAAACACTGGATTTTATTTACGCATTAGACATCAAATTAGTTACCTGGAATATGCTGGCCCCGTAAGGTGTTCTCCAGGCATTGAGCAGGTTATCTTTTCCCGTGCTCACAAACCACTTTCCTGAAATGCAAAGCGGGGATATTAAATTCAGCTTGAATGCGAGGTTAAATGGTATTTAAGTAATGGCAATTTGCTTTCTACTATGTTCAAGTACATTCTAAGAGTTTTTTTTTTACAATAATGAAAATCAGAGACTACATCCCGGGATAAAGATTTTCGATGAATGAATGTAATCTACAGCATTACGCAGAAATCTCTCTTCACCCAAAGGTTTTGCTCGTAATTAAAACAACCTCCCTCCTCCCACCTCGCCAGCACCGTGCCGTGCCCTCACTGCTCACCACAATAAGCGAACTTGATGGAGAGGACGCAGCTCTCGTGCAGGTGCAGCTGGTACTTGTCGGGCTTGCTGTGGTGCAGCACCTCCACATTACTGCTCTCCATGCCCACGGCCAGCCACTCCCCCGTCGGGCAGTAGCCCAGCGAGAAGATCTAGCGAGGGCGAGGAGAGACATTCATTCACACCGCGCGTCATCGGCCTGCGTTCTTGGCCCGGCTTCGTGGCCGGCGTTAGAGCTGTCGGCGCTGGGTGTGGCTTTTCAACCAGGAGTGATGTTTGTCAATAGGTGAGTGGAAGTTAGCATAGGCACGGTCAATTGATTTGTGGCCAACCGTTTTGTTTTCCAAATGACACAGAATCCAACTGTTGTGCAAATTAGACAACAGATTGGGCTTCGCGTCAGGGAATAAGGTGGGCAAGGCAGCACACCTGCGAGGTGAAGTCGTGCTGCTGCAGCTGCCTGCCCTCCCGCAGGTCCCACGACCTCACGGTGTTGTCCAGGCCTCCCGTCCACAGCTTCGTGCCATCGTGGGAAATGTCGATGCAGCTCGCGCCATCCGTGTGTCCCTGGAACTGCCTGTGGGACGAGTCGAACCCGGGGCATGCACGGTTTATGAAGCCGGCGGCTCTGGCACGCGGCGTAACGCGGAAGTTCGTGTCTGCTGCTGGTGTCTGCTGGTGTAAGCGGCTGGCGACGGACCTGACGAGCGTCTGGTTGTGCAGGTCCCACACGGCGATGTTGCCGTCGCTGCAGCAGGAGAAGCACACCTTGGAGTCGGGACTGATGGCGAGCGCGTAGCACGCGGGCGCCGACGACGTGAGCTCCGCCTTGATGCGCGGGGTCGGAGCCGCGAGGTCCCAGATGGAGATGGTGCTCGCCTCGCCGCCCACGATCAGCGTGCGCCCGTCCGGCAGCAGCTTGCACGACCGGATGTAATTTTCACGATTCTTTTGTTTTACGGTGGAAACAAACAAAAAACATTCAAATACACGTTTACCACAAGTCGAATATAAGTACTCTGAAAATTAGTCGATTGGCAAGTCACATGTGGTGGGGTAAAGTGCGAGTACTCCTCTACCTTTGCCAAGACGTCTGATCAAACTAAACTTTTTATTTTAGCAGGTAAGGCCCACTGAGCTATGTAGCTCTTGGCCATAAATGATAGCTCAACAAAGTGGCTTATCACGTGGAAATGTCGAGGACAAATATCCTCTGGAGGGACTATCTTAGAGCTTCCTCAATTGGAGGTCCTCCGGCAAGAAGTAGCACGAGAAAGCAATTCTATATGGGACTGCACCTTTACGTAACTCAGTACGCGCCCACTACACTTCTTGCATTTTTCAAGTGTTTAGTTGCTTCATCACATTGGGTGGTCAATGAACGGGAGCCCCTTACAAGGCAGTCGAGCTGGGAAACGGGCGTCTTGGTTCCCGGCTGCCCGATGTCCCAGATCTTGACGCAGCCCTTGCCCCCCGTGTAGACGTGGCGCGTGGGGTTGCTGATGGTGACGGCGCACACCACCTCGCCGTGCGGCAGCGTGCTGATCTGCCGCGCGTGACGCGGGATCCCTGGGCCCATCAGGGCGTCCGGAGGGAACGGCACGGGCTGCATCTGCCCGTCCGCGCTCACGTGGAACGAGTACGCCCTGGAGAAACGAAAAACATTATTAAGCTCAAGTGATGTCAGAATTTAACAACGCATACCAGCCTTGGAAACAATCAACGTTGCGATCGCCAAGAGAAGATTACTACTCTCCGGTCATGTCAAACAGATACTGAGAGAATGCCCCTGGCCTATGGCGTCCAGAGCAAGACTGCGTGGTAATCGGAACTGTCAAAGCTGGCCACCATCATCATACCTGGCTACACCGGATTGAGATGGACAAGGGCCACTCTGCTCCAGAGGCATGTACCGCTGTGAATAACTAGCTGGGGTGGATGGTGCTACGATGCTTGGCCGGTCAAGCATAGGCATACATTTCAAAATGTAGATAATGAACCAAAAGTACTGAATGTTTATATATATTTCACAATTAAGCAATTGCATGTTTTTGTTTCTGCAAATCTGTTTGCTGTTACAATGATGTACGCAAGATGTTTTTTTAGTCGTGAAATCACTTACGGTTTTCCACTGGGTACTGCAGCTAGACTGGGAGGAATGCCAGGTGCTCGCATGTGGGGGTGAGGGTCAAACCCAACCTGCAATACATCCAACGTACGCACAACAAACGTCTCATAATTACAGAGCAGTAGAGCACACCATGCCTGTGAACAGGGAGACGCTCCCACACCGTTTCACGAGCCCTGTCATTGTGTGGAAAACACTGTATATTTAACATTGTGCAACTGGGAAAGAGTGTGTGAGTATGAGAGAGAGATGGATAACTTCCACAGCTTTAGCTCATTAAATCGCTAATGTGGTATGCACACTGCTCCTATGAACCCTCAGTGACCAGAGTTTGATTCCAGACCACAACTATCCTTGAGTGGCGAGTTAAATCTGAACCAGTCTTGGGCACTCCTTTTTCAACCTCCACAGACTAGTGTGGATATGTATGGTTAAAGAACCCTTATGAACAAATATGGCATGGGGTGGCCTTCATCCAGCACTGGATTGACCTGTACATTATTAGTACATATGCTGTTTTAGTTAAGTACTGAATTGCTCTGTTTGGCTATGCATACTTTTGAATGTATGAAATAAATGTACTTGATTTGCCATGAACACAAGAGTACTTTCTGAGCCACACATGGGGATTATAAATTGTTTGCTATTTATTGCAGAGGGTCGCAACAGCGACAAACGGCGGAGCACAGCGAGTGGTTGCTCTGCAGGAAGCAGGGCACCCACCATGCGCAAGCGTCCGCCAGTCATGTGACCATGCATTCGGCCAATACAGAGGGAGACAAAGGTATGACGAGTGCCACGTTACACCCACCATAGGCGAGCGACGCCCGTCATGTGACCACGCAGTCGACCAATGCAGAGCGTGTCGGGCACCCACCATGGGCGAGCGTCCGTAGGCGGCGGCCGCGGCCGCCATGGCGCTCATCTGCGGGGACATGCCGTGCAGGCTGGCGTACGCCCCGGGGCTGGCCAGCTCTCCGTTCAGCCCGGGGTGTGGAATCATCCCAAAGGGGTTGCCAAACGGCCCGCCAACTGAGGCCAGTGGGTTTCTAAGGCCAGCACCTGTACCGGGAAGAGCAAAACAATTTGTTACTCGCCATGTTAAACGTATTATCTTAGAAAGCACTCCTGGGAGGGTTCTGAGAAAAATACTTAATTGCAGCATTTTTTTTCATGTCGGTGTCAGCAGCTATATAGGGTTTCTCTTGATTAATCAAAATAAGCAACTTCCCCTGGGCACTTGACGCAAGCTGTAGGGAGCTTTTAGAATTAAAAAAACAGGCACTGGGCTCTCACTCTGACCACGCTATCCTGCACATTCTGAGGACCTCTCATTCGAACCCGTCAATGTCTCTGCAGTAAATCCGCCTACACTATATTCTCAATAGAACTAAGAAAAATCTACTAACATATGTAAAACTACTTTTTTTCACAACCAATAATCACTCTCGAGAGTGAGTAAAGTATAATTTTATGAGTACTGCTTAGTGACCTGTTCAAGCTTGGTGACAAGTGAACAGGTGAGGTCTTGAAAGTCAAAATTGCACCAATAGCTCACGTCTAACCTGTTAATACGCAACACCCAATATTGCACTAATTTTAGTAATGCAAGGTAAGACTTAATTTGTATTTGCCTTCACAGTCTTCCAAGTGACATGCCATTTTTTACATTTTATTTCCACATTAGCTAAAACAAATAAAGGGTCACACACCGAGATGATCGACTGCAGACAGCTTTCCAGGAACAGGCCTCAAGCCTGGAGTCAGGCTCGCTCCGGGGCCTGGCAATTCACTGCGTGGGGTTGGCGTGCTTGTCTTGGACACCAAGCTGCTTGCTTTATCATTCTAAAAAAGACACACACACCCAAACATAAAGATTAATACGATATCCCTGTAGACCTACAAACAAAAACGTGAAGTAAAATACATAAGAGCATCATGAAATAGTGATTAGCATTATAACCTTACCGTCTTTTGCAAATGTTTTTTGTGATAATGCACTGCATTTGGCAGCGGTGCATAAACACAAATAACAAAACTCACATTCGTCAATAAAGTCCCCTTAAAGAAGAAAAATATCTTCGGTGATATTTTGAGAAATGGCCATTCTTCATAGGGGAGACCAAAAGGGCCATCATCCAAAACGTCACCTATTATCGATTTTAATAATCTTATGGAATAATTTAAGAGTGTTTTTCAAAATTTATTCCACGCATCCTTGCTTTCATCTGCTAATAGCATGTTTAACCCATGGATATAGGTCCTTTGGGTTACCTGGGGTAGGTCCTTGGACTTGGATGAGGGGGTACTACTGGAGGAGGCCACAGACCCTGGGCTGATAGACGTGTCCTTCTTCCCATTTAGAGACCTGTCCAAGCCATTTTCACGAGGTGAGTGGATTGGACTGCCCCTTGGAGAAGATGGGTCCTAGAGTCCATGATTTGGAGAGAGATAAAGCACTTCAGTTAAATGTAATATTATTTTGCGTTTGATATTGAAAAGAAACATCTGAAGAAATAAGGACAAGTGTTGCTAAAAAAAACACAAACCTCATTTGAGACGTCTACTTCCAAGTTGTCATCACTTTTGTCCACATCGCTGTCCTGTAAAATTTGAAACAAACAAAAAAATAACCCCACTTGCTAAATGTAAACCACTCTTGAAAAATATCAGCCTACAACCAAAATATCTGAAAAATAAGAGAGGCTGCATTCATACTCACGTAGTGGTGGACAGAATCATTTTCTTCTACTTTCCTCTTCTTGCTGTCGTTGCTGTAGTCAACAGAGTTGCGATGCTTCTCGCTGCCTCGCAGGCTGTTTTGTGGAGATACAGACTTGCTCTGCAATAAAAAAGCAGAACAATAGAATTAAAAAATAAATCATCAACCCCTTGTTGTTAATTGGAAAAAAAGATCACATCAGGCTGTGAAATTAAGACTTCTGCAGAGATAGATGTGTTCATACATAGTATGATGATTAATTTTATTTATGAACAGGAAAAAGTTTTTACACAACAATTACTGTAATTGCCATCTTTGACTGAGAACAAGGAGCGCCTTTTTGGGTTATTCCTGTCATCTGTATATTTATGGTATGCAGCTCTGTTATAATCTCATTTTTAAATTAGATGCAAATACAGTTCACTTTAAAACACTAATTAACACTTTTTTATTGGCTCCCTCCGTTAATAGCGCATCAATCATGAGCAGAATCAAAAGTGAGATGCATTTCAATTGCTATCTTCATCATTAACCTAACAGCCATTAATTCCTCATCACCACTGATTCATAATCAATCATGAATTACCAAGTGTCTACGTAAATGTTTTTAGTTATAAATAAATCAATATATTGCATAAAGTGTTTTCATAGTGCCTTATATCACTGTTTAATCCATACTAAATGGAAGGTACATTAAATGTTGAAGATATCATGCTAAGGGCTTCTTCAATAGCTTAGTGATGGAATTATCTTTTTTTCAAAACCAATTAAAAATCATTGTCCAAACAAACGATTTGTCTTGACACCGATTTGAATGTTGCAATGTTGTTTTTGGTGCCAAACACACGGTGTCAGAATGTACTTGATCTACATTCACTGAATCCAAGCACGTATTAAAAATTGCATCCAAAGTGACATGAACAATGAGGCCACGTCTTGTTAACACCAAACAGTTTCCTTAATTAAGCCATATTTAAAAAGATACACAGACGCAAATTAAAAGCACAGAGTTCACATGCAGTAAATAATAACAATTCGCTGGCAAAATGCTAAGTGCGATCATTGCAAGCAACCACTGGTTCATCACAATTGTTTGTCGGAAAACATAATCTCTAGCAAGTTAATTTGTTAATCACCTCCAAGACTTCAAGCAGAGGCATTTAACATTGTAGTTTTTATGGCTCGTACTCAGAAGTTATCAGTTCCTAGGGGAGTACAGATTCAAATGGTCTATGCCAAATCGCATGATTAGGCATTGAAATATTACTGCATTGTATAAACAAATGTATTTCTATGAAAGAGTAATATAACAAGTCCTCAGCTGAGTCACAGCAATGTAATCATGGTGATAATTTCAGTGACAAAAGCAAAAAGCAATCATGTGATTCAGCTTAATCTCCTAAACTTTATTTCCAGATTAAAGCTAAACAATGAGGCATTTTAGGTTGGAATAATATTTCACTTAAAGGGCATCTTGATTATAGGCTTGTAAAATGTAATAAAAAGTTATTGCTGGCTCACTGGAGGCAAAGGATTAGCAGATTATGGATTATTGTTAGGTGAGGTACGGTAGAAAAATTAAGGTGCATCAAAAATTATTAATGGGGAACACTGGTTGTGCATGTTAATTTAAATAGCAATACATTTTAAACTGGAAACTAAACATTCCTGGCAAATTTGAAATGCCACACTTGAAAAGGTACTCAAGATGTTTTCATTACTTAATTATTTCTGGCAAACAACGCAACTGGACAATGGTGCGTCACTGTTTGAAAGAACATACCGCACAATTATTTTGGTTGGACGTTGAAGTCATGAAACCGATACATTCTTTAAAAAGGTATAATTTTCTCATTACGAAACTCAAAACTGCGCTAAATGTTTCACGCTTATACAGACATTTTATGACCACAAACACTATTCTCAATTAACAAAATTATTCATACAAAACGAACTGCTGAAATATTTCCATTAGGGTTAAACAGATCCGCTTATTGCTTTGATCATTTATAGATTACGCGACTTTGACCAAATCACTCGGAATGTGCCAAATCCCATCGGGGAGGAAAACATGTTATAGACTGCAGGGCCATATTGTAAGCAGAGGGGAGTGCAGCAGGTGCATAGTTATTCTGTAATGTGTCTGTGCTACCCACATTCAACAACCTGTGCTGACCATCATCGTGAAATACTAAACTAAAACTATTTATTTTTATTTTACCAGGTCAGACCCACCGAATCAACCTGGCCACAAATTATAGCTCAACAAAGTGGCTTATCACGTGCAGATGTATTGCTGCCAAACACTCTAAACGCATGTTTCTAAACATGGAGGGAAAAACCAGAGGACCTGGAGAAAAATCCACACAACCACGGGGAGAACATGCAAACTCCAAACATACAGGCATCAGGGTTGGGATCGAACCCATGGCGCCCTGCATACCAGGCGAGGTCATTAACATATCGCCACCATGGCACCCTCCGGTCAAAGAATCCAAATGAAATGCAAAACATGGGGGAGGCAATTTATCCAGCAGTCGATTTTGAACAGCTGTAAATGTATAATTCATCAATGTAATTCAAACTACTTTCAAACTGTTGCTAGATGTACGTCACATTCTACTGTCTATGGACACAGATCCTCATACCATTTCAACCCCACATGCACCCAAATTGCATTACTCTTTCCTCTCCTTCATGTAAACACAATAACATTCCTTTCAACCGCAATGATGTGGGAGGACAGGGTTAGGGATAAAATACTTTTTTCAGACAGTGAAGTAGGCATCACCATGGTCCCACAAAACATTACAAAACACAGAGGGCCCCCTGTTGCAGCACATCAACTTAAAACTTGGGCAATAAATCTCCATTATATATTACAAAAAAAATGTCCAACCTGCTTTGGTCATTCATATAAAAATGAAACAAAGAAATGCATGATTGGAATTACTCTGTGAAAAAGAGGACTACATTAATTAAAGAATACAGGCAGGTCAAAGGCGACTAAAGATTTGAAAATTAAGTGGGCTCGGGCAGGATACCACTTAAGGATGATGTGGCCGATGGTCAAGAATAATGACGGAGCATCAACCAAGGAAAATCAAATGCATACTGGAGGACGTCTACGGAACAGATATAGCGATTCAATCAGCTCGTGCAGGTGTATTGATACATTGCATTATCGCAGGAGATGGAGGAAACGTTGGGGGGGGGGTGTTTATCAAGCAGTGGATTAACCATGGCTGATGATGATTTTGTCCCATCACATGATCCGAATCCTAGGAGATTTAACATAACTGGAAGAACTGCACATGTATTGGCTTTCGTAGATAACAGGATTTGCAGATAAGATACTGCATATATAATTGCTAATATGTACTTTGTATAACATAATGGTAAAGAAATAACTATTTGCCTCAGACAGAGTGCCCACCATCATACTGCATGGGAGATATATCACATTACTGTGAGCAGTGGTCGCACAAACTACCACTGCCTCTATCACGATCTGCTTTCCCTCCAGACCCACGAGACCACTGTTGTCGGTTGCCTTCATACCAGTGTCCCCAAATGGCGGAAATGATGGGACATGCTCCAAACCCGCACCGGCACACTGGGCTTATTAAGGGTTTAGGAAGTTAACTCCCCCACCCCACCTCCACTCCCTCCACGCACGCACCCACAAACACCCCCCCCCATCACCAATCTCTAGGCTCCCTTCATTGGGTTGGCTGACAATCAAACCTTTCTTCATGAGCAACCAGGCGGCAAGAGCTGCCAAGCAACACCAACGCCTCCCTCCCCTTGTCCTTTCGCACACTCAGCCCAGCCGACCATACACCACCCTTCATCCATTCCCTCTCGCTGCCCACAATTCGGGCGGCTGCTCCCCACTGATCCCGAACGCTGCCAACAGCACGCTGGCCATGCAGTAGCACTCATTTCTGCGCTCGCTAGCTCTGAATGCGAGCGGCGAAATCCGAGCTGGCACCTACTCTAGCAAAACAAATCGCTGGCCGCAATTGACAGCCCACTCGCTGATGTTTACAGAAAACCCAGTGTCCAAATGCAAACTGGATGCAACAGGAGTTGTTTTTCCAGCCAAGGCGACCGTATACCCAACATGACGGCCCGCGGCTTTTCCAAGCCACTCCCGTAAATTTTGCCTTAAAGATAACATTTCGTATTTCTGCAATCATAAAAAAGTGCTGCTTTTGCGCATTTATTCAAACGTGTCCATTAAAAAATATAGCCAACCTTCTCAGTGCTGAACAGTGCACCCACAAACTGCTTATATTCTGCGCATGAATTCACGGTTTAAAGGTCAGATACAGAGAATTACACGAGCTCTGCAATAGCCTCATTGTGCAATCTCATGTGTGACATGACCCCTAACACACAATGGCAGACATAAGCCATCATACTGCTTTAATAGGTTTATGAATGGTGAAGGCATATTACCCAAGACCACACCTAAGAATGCACAAAGCTATGTAGTGCATAGGCAGAAGCACCACATTGTCATCCAGTAGATATGCATAAATACACATTAGGTATTTTAACATTGTTATCAAATAGGTATGTGACCTGGATTATTGTGCCATTTGTGATTAAAATCACACCGAAGTGGCTTTTCGGTACTAAATCTGGCACATGCGATCGTTTTGCCTTGGGTATATTTGCCCAAATGCATTTGAAATGAACCTCTCTTACGATGTGCCCATACGTTCCTGATGCCAAACATTTTAAATAGACGTGACTAACAATGGATGCGACACATGGTGTGAAATTTGCCAAAACGAGAAAAGTGGTTAAATGACTCGGCTCAAACAAAGTACTTTGCTGGCAGCGCACATGCAGCACCAGCTGATAACATTAAAGATACATACATGCCTCATTTTACACTCATAGGCCTCTGACATGCAGTAACACATGTCCATTATGCTAAAAAGTCTGGGCACCTGCATTTGCTAATTTCCTGGGTTGTTTATACTCGAAGCGAGCTGGGCTAGCCGAGTATGTAAACGCAATCCGCCCGAGTTCATAAATCAATGCAGTTCATAAGCCAGCGGCTGCCCCTGCCAGTGCGAACATAGCATGTTGAGCTTGTTAGCCGCAGACATTCAAAGAATGCCTTGTGGTCTCCACAGGATATCCACAAATGCTTTTTCAATTGCCCCCAGAATGGGACCACACCTCTTCCGCACTCATCCAGCTTAACCAGGAATTCGTCAACCACAATTACTGCTTTCATTGGGATACTGGCATTAGTGTTTTTCTATATATATAATACTACCACCTTTGCAGGAAGTCATTATAGATTATATAAATGCTACCAAGAAAATCTAAGAACCAAGCATATTAAGGATATTTAAATGTAAAGTGGTACTTCAAAGAAATACATTTACAAGTTAACTCGTCCCCATCTATTATGGTCTGGTCTTTGTCCAGTTGCTTTCCTTGGTGTGGACTTGAGTGCCGACTGTGGTGAGACCCCTATGGGTTGTGGTGCTACCCTTTTAAACATTATGGACACCACCTGCCAAACCTCTGCCTTTTGGGATGCCAGCTATACACTTGTGCTTCCATTCTTCTTCAATGACATCCAAGGATTGAAATATCCAAGCGGTAGCACATTTGGCTGCTTGTTTCAGACATTTGCTGTTTTGAGCCCAGGAGCCGTCCTTGTTAATACCACGGGCGAATTACTAAGAATATGCTACATCTGCTTAACAGTAGCATTAAAGATCCTGTGACATTTCTCAAAAAAGAATAGCTGAAATGCCATTGTGTTCCAATGTTATGAACCTAAAATTGGTATATACACGTTCTTTATTTTTAAAGAGCATAGTGAAAGCATTTCTCTCACAATATACAATGTTGTAATTTATTTCCTGAAAGAAAAAAACACAGCTGCCAGAGGACTTCTCATCCAAAACTAAGTACAAAATTGTATTAATCTCCGACTCTTAAGTACTTGCAGGCAACCACTTGTCGCATCACAGAAAAGGACAGGACCCTTTTGGTCACATCCTACACACAAATAGTAAAAAAAAAATCTTGGTGTGCGGCTGCGTGTGAATAAATATGGCAATGCGGCAGAGAGAACAATTGGCTGCACTGTAAAACGGCAGAAGCTATGTTGACTCAGTAAGTCATGGCCTGCCTCAACCCGGAAAAGATGTGTGAATCAAACCGAGAAATATACACATTAAAACGGTTCTTTCATGTGGAACAACGGCACTTTGATTTCCACAGAAAGGATCGTCTAGAGGGCTACATAAAGGATCGAAACTAAGCACAATTAGGCCCATAGCAATTACAGTAATTGACAAGCAAATCAAAAAAGGAATGTTCTGAAAGGGAAGTCTCTTGCAAAGCAAAGCAATTATATATTTTCAGTTTTATCTGTGAAGACAGTGCCACCTGGAATACTAGATCACCGTTCCTGTTCAATCAATCCCACAAGCAAAGCCTCTACTCGCGACATGGTTAGCTTTATTGCTTTTTTAACTACGGCATTTCAAACGATGCTGCAAGTGTTTCTGTAAAAATGTATTTCAGCTGTGCTGAAAAAACAGCCTTGCGTCAATGTCTGAAACATTTTCGAAACCTATTAATTTACGCAAGCAGCAGCGGCGACATTTATACCAATTGCAACTAGAAACATTGCAAGCATTTTTCACGCAGCAGCAGCAAAAATGGTAATTTTACAATCTATATAAATGACAAAAAGCCTTGGATTTTGGACCCCAATGAATTAAAACGTCTGAAAGTTCTTATTCTGCCCTTTTGAAATGCCGTAGCAAATATTTATTATTTTGGCAAAATTATACTGGGCATATCAACTGCCATTAAACAAACCTTAACCAGACAAATGCATATCCAACCACTACAAAGTGCATGCATTTTGTTGTTGATAAATTACTCTCAAAAAAATAATAAAGGAACTGTACTCAATGTGCAGGAAACAACAGTGTCAGTGTTTCATACAATGGGCCTTGTTTATTATTCAATTTTTATGCCACTTCCACTAAGTCCAAGAAAAATGTAATATCTAAAACCCCTGACTGCTGGATTATACTAAAACTGTCAGCAACTTATAAAAAATAAACTTCAATCCAATCCACAACAGCAGTAAACAGAACGCAAAAACACAAAGTCGCACGCACACTGCTGTTAAGATAACAGGTGATGATTTTAGCCCAATCCTAAACCAGAGATGAGCAGCAGCTGTCACATGTATGAAGTGTGTGCCAATTTCCAAGCCATGAGTTACTCTTTTACAAAGGATAACCATCACACAAGAGCTGACATTTTCTGTGGCCAAGGTTATTAATACAAACTATGCTCGCAGAATGATTATCCCCTAGACATCCATCACACTAGACTCATTAGGTAATTGCTGGCTGTGTAGCAATGAACCTGCGCTTTTCACCGATGTGTTTTTAAGACAAGCTTACAAATTGATGACGTCAAGTGTCTGGCAAAAAGCATAATTGCAATTTAACTCTCTCCCTAAAGAACCGCACGAGTTAAGAAAACAACATGGGTTTTGGAGATCTAATTACCTACAAGTCTCGGAAAGGAGTAATTACTTAGTCATTTATATGGAGCAGACTGCCCTGCTCAATATAAATGTTAATGGGGTTTTGGTTTCCTGACAAAGTACCAGAGGGGGTTGGCACCAACACCCTCCACAGTCATACTGCAATTACAAAGACAGAAAAAACAAGCTAGGGTTCAAATGTAGCACTTAGAAAAATATACCAAGTTGGCTGTTTGTTCGTAAATTGCAATAGATGTCGAGATAAATTTTGCGCCGAATATAATTTACTGGGTTTGATGTGAAAGCTATGGGAAAAAAAAATATCCAGAGCAAAAGCAGACTTCTTGTTGCTTTTGTAATAATTTAAAAACTCCCATACCATAATTTGCTTAGCGTGTCACTTTGGCAAATTGAAAACATTTTTTTTAAACTACATACATCTTACACGCCCTAAAATGAAACCCTGAGTGTTGATGTGTAAAAATCATATTTCATTTTTAAGCAGAGCTGTTCCTAGACTCTACATAGTCCCAGCAGAGTGATCTTAAGCCTGTTGTAACAATTCTCCATGACAAGTATGGAAAATACTTATTTTGAGAAATGCATTGCTTGGTTACAGAGCCACTACTCTTCAATTACCTCAATCTCCACCTGACGCTGGGATTTTTGTATAAGCCACTGCACATCACTCTGCTGTGTGTAAATGGAGTCTAGGTACAGCGCTGCATTTGAATGTCATTACTTACAGTGCTAGCTTCTCTGTCTGTCTCGGTTCGTTCCAGTCAGTTCACATGCAAAAAGAAGAACATAATCTCGAGTAAATGCGGGCATTGACTTATTTTAATACACATTGCTAACTTACAACCTCAAGATTGTATTATCAACAGTGGAGCCATAATACAAAATGTGAAATGACGACATGTGCAATTTCAGTGTGACGCCGCGAGGAATTAAATAGGTATACAAGGTCAACTTGATATGGTTAACACAGATAACCTTCTTCTCAAATGTTCATTTATAAGCAATCACAGTTTTATTCTTTTTAAATGACTGTATGAAAGGTAAAAGCTTATATACATATAGTTCAGCAGCTTCATGTGATAAAGGAGCTCAAGGGTTGCCAATGTGAATTTGTACATTTTCATCTTGCAAGTCTTCCTATATGAACAACACAAATTCTGTCGTGTGGCAGACGAACAAGTTAACAACACATCAATAATGCAAGCAATATCAACAAAGGAGACAGCACTAATGGATAAGAGACAGCCGCATGGCCAGGGCACTCGGCACGGGGGACATTAAACAAAACATGTTTTTCAATGTTCTGCCACAATTTCAGCTCCTTTACTCACACTGCTTGACTTTGTGATCCCCTCTCAGTTCCATTTCCCAAGTTCTTACAACCTTGCTCAATTCAATAAACATACTGCCTATTATCTATCACTCCTCCAAAAGTACTGTCTGTTGCTGGCTGCATGCCGTTTCTGAGCCTGTGCTCAAGTAAGTGCGATACTAATTTTTATTTTTAATACAGAAATTGCCTCCGTGACCACAAACCTCTGTGGTTGTTGTTGTCCTGGTGGTGGTTCTTGTCCTCCTTGCTGGGGATGTGCGGAGGTGGCGCCAGGGCCCCCGACAGGGCCAGGAGGCCCGAGCTGCCCACGCTCACCGGCGGGAGGCCGGGCGGCTGCAGCCCAGATGGGTGCGGGGGCAGCGGCACGGGCGGCGCGTGCGCGTGCGCCAGGTGCTGCGCCTGCAGCTGCTGGTGCTGTCACCGAAGAGAACAGAAGCCAGAAAATAAATACGGCGATACAATATTGATTTACAAAGCAGCGTCTTAAAGCAACGAATCTCTTGAAGATGTACAGAAACAGTGGCACATTTATTTTGTAGAAATACGGGTATGTGTACGAGTCAATGGGTTCTCTATGCGAGTATATAATTTCCGTGCATGTCAATCCGATTCTGTGCGAGTCAACCCAATTTAGTTTGTGGATTTATACAGCATCTATATAGCGTCTAAAAGCGACCGTATCGCTCGACGATGTACAGAAAGAATGTGCATAATTATTTAGTAGACACAATCATAGTCTACGGGTATGTATACGAGACATTGGGTCTCTCTATGCGAGTCTATCATCTCGATGCGAGCCGATGGATTTCTGTGCGACTCAATACAATACAGTTTGAATTTATATATTGTCTAAATAGCGTCTGACAGCAACCGCATCTGTTGATATCCAGAAAAAATGTGTGCATGTCGTGCAGAGGCAATCATACGCAGAGAAAAAAAATGAAGGCCAAATAACACCAGCTTTGCGAATAAAAATATAACACATTATACAATTCCAAAAATCCAACATACAAATTTATAAACACAGAAAAAAATACATGATATATAACATCACATTTTCCTAAAGTACTTTCAAATACATTTAAACCGTTTCGAGAGTCCAAGAGGGTGATATTGAATCATTTCAAAAGGTTTTTTTTTTAATATCATAAACAAATCTTTAAAATTTGTGCGACATTAGCAGCACAAATGAATTGTACGTTGCAATTGTTTTTTCAAGTACCATCATTGTCAAACTTAAGTAATGAGGGACATACCCCGATGATAGCGTTGAGCTCTGACATAGTCACCTGCTTAGCTCTCTCTACAGCCTGGATCACCTGCTGTTGGTGCTGCAGTCACAAGAAACAAACAACAAATTATTACTGAAGCTCCCGCACAGCATGTCACTTTATTAGACTCTCACTGCGCTTGGGAAGCATATGTTTGCTTTTGCATAGCACTTTTTATTGTGCCCACGTCTATATTTGTTCGATTCCTTCATATTTTGTACAATGTTACGTGGAGATAAATGAACACAAATTGGCCACTACAAAGTATATATGTAATATTTATATATCAAATGAAAATTCACTTCATGGTGGAAAAAATGTATTACTCCATGCTTTTGCTCAGTTGTTATTTGTTCTAACGACTATAAAACTGCTAAAATCATGCGTCTGAAATATGAAATCACTTAGCAAAAAGCAAACACCATCAATCTAAACTCTCAGGAGACTAGTAAACTGGGTTAGAGTCATTACAGTACCTCTTGTGAGAGAAACGGGATGACCTGGGCGCAGATTGCATTGAGTCGCTTCACTATTTCAGTCTGAAACAAGAAAAAAAACAAGCCCAATTCAATTATATTTAATTCATTACTGCATTTCAATTTCATTTTTTCTACTTTTGCAGCTCTACACGTGGTGCCATGTCAAAAAAATCAATTGCCCATTAAGGGATTACACAGTTGGTACACACGGGCTTGCCAACACGGCATCTGTGGTGCCGATAGTTATGCTTTCACAGATAGGCTTGTGCAAGCTGGGAAGATTGCTGCCAATTTGAGGGCCTTCACTGAAGGCATATTCTAACATTGTAGAAATAGCAGACCAAGTTGAAGACATTTTTTATTACGAAAAATAACGTAAATACGTACAGGCATTCGTTACACAGGGTAAACTAGAATTCACATTTTTATTTACATATACATATACTCGAATATTTATGGATGCAGAGACCACAATTAAATGTTCAAGCCAAGTCTTACAATATATATAAATAACTCCCCAGGGAAAATATGCTCCATTTAACAACACAGTGGGCAATCATGTGGGCAGAGCTTTTGTTCCAACAGACGAGAGAATCAATAATAACCAAGTTCTGCACCCTGCAGTATTTTGACCCAACAAACGGTACAACCCAACCCTAGAGACGGTGGCACCAAACCCATCGCACGCCCGATCCGATGACTCTTAATAAGCTTGCTTCATAAATAATGCAGGTGGGATGAACCCACATGGAAAGCAAGACAAGGCACCTTTCTCTCCCAGTGGGTTACTATAACCACATTAAACACATTCTCAGATGTTCCTGTACTCATAAAAACACATTTACACAGGTTTCCAGTTTACTCTGTCTTAACATAATACAAATGTATAAAAATGTACCAGTTACTGTCAAACTGTACCCATACTAAAAAACAGAAACCTAGAAATAATGGCAAGGAAATGGTTTTTGATATTAAAATATCCAGACAAATGATGCTGCATAACCAGATCATCATTTTCATCGTTATTAGTTTTCTGAGGCCGTGTCTTGATTCTAATATAATTAACACCTGCTACTGTCTGCCCTGGCTTTCTTTAGCATTTGCAAATGGGTTTAGCAGAAATTTAATAAGAGACCTATCTTTGATCTTTATTCACACCATTTTTATACACGATGCTAATGATCAGCTTCTTTAATCTTTTTTGATTGCGGAGTAGCGGTTGAACACATTCTGGTTTGACTAAGTGGTAAAACTGTCTGTATAATTTCTTCGTAATAACGCAATTAGAGATGTAAGACTTAATACAGTCATCTTGCACACACCTCTAACCACCTGAACAAATAAGCTTTATACCTTAGAGCTAATCACTAGCAAAGCCCTTTGTATCTTATCTACAAAGGGCGGGTGGGTAGGGGAGGCGAGGAAAATGGATGTCGTTAGAAACCTGCCAAATCCCTGTTTCAATCATCCTTACTGGAGAGCTGCAGGCACTGGATTTTTTTTCACGCAGCCACCGCCCCCCCCACCCCATTCCACCACCCAAGGGTAGGATGGGGGGGGGCCCTCACAAAACAGCCAATAAAATCCCATAAAAGTAAATCGATCAGCGCATGAAGCGGCCACAGGCGCCTGCGGGAGCCGCTTGCTGAAACAGCTGAAACCCAATTTGGCGAGTCCCAGGCTGCAATAACTCTGGCGCGTCATCGGACACCCGCGAGTCAGGCCCTGGGTTCGCCCCACCCCCAACCCCTGAGATCCCAATCAAATAATTGAGCAGATCAGAGGTGGCCTGCCGAGGCAAAATCGACTAGGCTGAAGGGTAGCTCGACTTTTATCTCCCGACAGCTGCAGATATAACACTTTGTCACATAGACAGAGTATTGTGGACAGGCTACACAGATTAATTTAATTGTCTTTATAATGATTCAGCGAAGCACTTTTCTCTCCATACTTAAATGTGCGCACCAATTTTATCCATGACACTAAGCTTTCAAAAACGTCAAGTTAGTTATTTTTCCTAATACATTTTTTTTTATAGACGATACATTAATACCCATCTTTTATGTTTAAAACCAACAGCTTGTCAAAAAGCAATGTTTAGCACCCTCTAAAAATGGGAGGATTTGGTTTGAAAATGTGTCTGATTTGCGACACATTCGGTCTGGCTACACGGCTAACGATCAAGATGTCATAAAATGCTATTCAAACAAAGTTATAGTGCTAATTGTACATCATTATGTAAATTGCAAGCCAGAACTTTTTAAAATCTCTTTCAATATGCACATTTCTAAAATAATATATATTCTACACTATCCAACCGACCAATTCACAGAAAGCAGTAAATATTAGCGAGTGTGGGCAAAAGCCTCACAATCTCTGGGGGCTTGGAAAATCTTCCGTAGTCATCACAACCTTTGGCTCCTAGAGAGAATTCATTATAACATAATGAGATGCAAACGGTCTGTTCCCCAGCTAACTAGGCAAGCAGGGGCCAGAACCGGCCCACTCAGCCGATTAGTCCCAGTCTCCGAGGCAATTATACTCGGAGCACTCCAGCTGGGCTCTGTTAGGGATCTTGGCTGACAGCACAGGAGGATCCATCATCCCGCTCCCAGGACACCATTACATGTTCATTAATCTACAGACCTCTGCCCCGGAGACCTCTCCCCATGTGAAAGGTCAATCCATCGCCTGCCCTCCGGCCTGTGACCTCCATTCCTACCACCAAAGTTCTTCTTGGTCCAGCAATCACAGTGGCTCGCCTGTGTCAGCAATTCACCTTGCTGGCATCAAACGTCAATATCAGAGCATCTAAAAAAGAGAACGGGCTTGGGCGCGCTCTCTCTCTCTCTCTCTCCCCAAGGGATTAAAAGGGCTGATGAGCTGTGAAGCTGCAGAGTGTTGCATCGAGTTAAAAAAAATGGCAGTTAAAGATTGAATACCTCTTTTTAGCCTGACCTTTCTTTTTAATCCCTTCAGCTCAAAACGAAGTGCCACGCGAATGAAGATCGTCACAAAGATCAAGCGAGTTATGAGCGCGTATACAAAAAAAGCATGTCATATTTAAGCAAAGGGAACATCATTCATGTTAGAGCAATGTTTACATTGCAAAGTGAACGTGGAAGCATCGAAAACAATTAATTTGATCATACCTGTACTAAAAGAGTCATTAGGCAATTCCTACCTAATTGATGTAACCCACAGTAATGGGTTCACACGTGCAGTCTAACAGTGCCCCCTACTGATGTCGGTGATGGAGCCAACCACAAGTCCTCTGATCTTCTCGTGCCCTGCCTTAATCTGCACTTAATCCGCCTCTAAACCGACTCCGGTTGTTTTCAATTCATTTCATAATCCAGTGCCAGCGACATCATCTTCAGCTGCACTAATCTGTGCCGCGACACTCGCAGTGATGAATTGTCGGCCTTATCCGCCTTCTCACACCGCTAAATTTCAATGCCGCACCCCCGTCACCTCCCGTACTTTGGCGAGCTTTTGTACCTCAATTGCAGACGTTCACCACCCATACACCGCCACAAACACTCATCAATGTTGGATCGTCTCCATCTGGCATAACCACTGCTCATACTCACAGAACATCACGCACGCAGCTGCAAATGACAGCTAGTTCGGTGCCAACCAAAAAGCCATGCAAGCGCTCAACAAACCGCACCGGTTCACATACCTGCTTGTGCATCTCTATATTGAGCCCGTAAGACATCTCGTAGTACTGCAGACACCACGCCACAGGGCACACAGCGTCAGATCAAGCCGTGCACAGACAGAGAGAGACAAGAGGGCATTTAAAGAGCACATTTTGCTGGCAGTGATACAGCTGAGCTTAGTGCCTTCCATGGGCCCTGCTCGATCAAAAAACAAATTTACATCGGCTGCTGCATCACAAGAGGCACTTTTAAAATAAACCATTAACCATAACTATAGAGCTTTTAATACTGCAAGTTAAAAAAAATAAGCCTTCAGGCACACACTCGCCAATTTCCACGGGACTAAAATGGCCGAAAAATCCGTTAGACCAATTTGTTGTGTGACGGACTTATCTGCGCTTCTTACACGAGTGTCATTTCACCATAAAAGGCACTCTTTTCTTATTTTCGCAGCACACTCGACCAAGCCCCATCTTGCACGCACAAGTGTGTCCCCCACTTTGTCTTTACCAATCACTCCAACCTCTCTAACCCTCCCCCCCAACCCACCATCCCTTCCCACTTTTCAAAATCGCATTCCCACGTCCAACATTACATTTCGCGGACGTGCGCAAAAAGGCACACCAAATTATTACCACGTGCACATATATCGTTTTGTACATGCACGTATATATGTGTACACATGTGTGCATGTGTATATATACATAGTTTAATTATATATGTTATGAGAGAGCGAAATCCCACCGCTACCCCCCCATACCCCTACCGCGCCCGCCCCGGCTGTCGGCGCTAATACAATTTAGCGAGGCGCCTTCTCCACTAAACGCGCCCCGCAAGTGACAGCCATCTGCCACCGAACGCGCTGATCAATTAGCCGCGTAATTGTGCACCCGCTCCCTTTCGCCACAAGCCTTTGTTGTTCAGCCGCCTGGAGCTGGGAGCCGAGAGAGCACGCGGGGTAGCCGCGAGACTGGAGCCGAGACCTGGAGGGAGCCAGGCTAACGGAGCTCCCCCTGCGATGGAGCAATAAGGACGCGCACCGCTCCCCCATGGCCAGCAATTCCCGGTTTGAAGGGCCGAGTTGGTTGCCAAGTGCTCACCATGACATAGTGGCGTTGCATTTCTGTCTTCTCGCTCGCCAGCTTCTCGCATTCTAGCTTGAGGCTGCGGAATGAGACGAGGCGCAATTGTATAGGCGTACACGCAAATATAAATGTGATCCGCACATGCATACATATACGTGTGCGTCGTCACACAAATGTATAGACACAAGAATAATACAAATACATGCAGACGCAACACAAACATAAAGGCATAAACCCATATATGTATGAATATATAAGTTTACAACACATATATAGAATGCACATACAAAGCGCATATATAATCTACACATACATACGCACATACCTACACACAAATCCTACATAACACAGGCATGCACACACATACAACGCACAAATATAGATAGACAACACACACGCAGAATATACACTTAAGACACTCTTGCTAACATAAACATACAGCACTCTGAAACGCATACATAAACAGCACGTCACTTTCGTCCCATCTGATTTTCAATGTCAGCAAATAGAAGATGTTTTGTTATGCTTTTAAGGACACGTCCGTTTGCCTGACCAAGTTTACACAGTCATTCTGTGAATAGTGTATACATCTGTATAGGGCGCTAGTTATGTCATTCGTGTGTGTGCTGTGTGTGCCGCGTGCTGCGTGTGTGCGTACGTGTGGTGTGTCTAGTGTGCGTTACGCGCGGTGTGTGTGCCGTGTGCGTTGTGTGCCTTGCGTCTGCTGTGTGCGTTGCGTGTCATATGTGCGTTGCGTGTCGTGTGTGCGTTGCGTGTGGTGTGTGCACGTTGCGTGTGGTGTGTGCACGTTCGTGTGGTGTGTGTGCGGTGCGTGTGGTGTGTGTGCGTTTCGTGTGGTGTGTGTGCGGTACGCGCGGTAAGCTGTCAACCGTGTATGTGCGTGTGGTGTGAGCCGTGTGCGTTACGCGCGGTGTGTGTGCCGTGTGCGTTGTGTGCCTTGCGTCTGCTGTGTGCGTTGCATGTGGTGCGTGTGGTGTGTGCGGTGCGCGTTGTGTGTCATGTGTTACGGTGCGTGTGCTGTGTGCGTTGCATGTGTTGCGTGTGGTGTGTGCTGTGTGTGCGGTGCGCGTTGTGTGTCATGTGTTACGGTGCGTGTGCTGTGTGCGTTGCATGTGGTGCGTGCGGAGTGTGCGTTACGCGTGCGGTGCGTGCGGTCTGCGTTACGCGTGTGCACGTGTGACGCGCGTTTTTCCGTCTGGAGCGTGCCGAGTAAGTGTCTGTGTTGTGCTGTGTGTACGGTGTGCGCCTAACGCATGTGTTGACACGCGATGTCTCGGATCGTACCTGTGGTACTGCGCCTGCAGAAACTGGAACTCTTCTTTGATGCGATCGCACGTTTCCGTCACCGTGAATTTAAAGGGCTGCCCCGCCTGATGGGGCGCCTACAAGACGACACCACACACACAACACACGACGTCGTCACGTTCCGACGTATTCCACCAGAAATCAACCCGAGGGCCGTTCTCTCCCGTCTCCCCTTCGCATCACAAAAACAACTTTCACCACTCCGTTTACCGTGTAGCCCTTGCCAAACAACTTATAACACACACACACAAATAATGACCCACGGGGCCCATTTGCAGTTTTAACCTTCAGAGTTAAATGTTTGTCCCCCCCCACCCCGCGCCACCGTGTGGGCGACTTAATGACTTAGTCGCACTTGTATTTCAGCAACAACCAAAACGACAAATCGCATTAAACAAACGTCTGCCAATTGCTAACATCTACGAGTTAAATCGTGACTCGCGTTTGGGGGGGGGGTGACGATCGGTGTGGGAAGCGGAAAAAAACACAAATTCATTACGATGGCAAATGTCGCAGCAACATCCGTGGAGCGACTAAAGTTGCGGTCAACTGTGGCACGTGCAGCAGCGCACGTCCAACGTGGCCTCGTGGGGCCGTGAAGGCGAATTGCTGCCAAGGAGCAACTCAACTTGTGGTCGGGCAAAGGTGCAAGAGGACGTAGATGTGGCCACTGGCCAAAAGAAACCCACGGCCGTCTTTGCCTACCCCTAACACACCCGATTCAAGCGATTCTGCCCCTCTTAGCGTAGGCGAGGCCCGTGACGGGTTCCGATAACCCCCTTGCCACCGCTGATGCTGTCCGTGGCCGGGATTCTAACCCATGTGGCCGACACGGCAACCGCAGTTCCCGCGTTGAGCATCACAAAAGCCACCTCCCTCGCCATACAAAGCCACCCTACCAACCCCGTTTAGCCTCATGGATGGCCGAGGCAAGTGATATTAGCGAGTGCCCATGACTACTCATACTAAACAAACAGTTTAAACACGCAGCGGGCTCTGAACAACATCGTCGGTCATCATCAATCTACGGCTGGATGAAGGTCCTCCAACAACGACCCCCCCTCCTCCTCCTCCTCCCCGCCACCATTAAATGCGAACGTACAGCGTCGCTTCGAGCTCGCTTCCGAGAACAAAGTGGCCTTTCTGTTTCGTACGGGTGACAAGAGCCCACCACCCCCCCTCCTCCCCATCTTAATCAACTTTAGGCAACGCTCTCCACTCCGAAGTACGACGAAGCGAACGGCGAGGTGAGTGGACACGGTGGGTGCGCGATCACGAGCGGGTGGCTGGGTGAGTGAACGAGCAGTGAACGCGTGTGGTGGGGTGAGTGCGCCGGGTGAGTGATTGAGAGTGTGTGTGGGGAGGGTGGTGGGTGTGGGTGAGAGCCTGGGGTGAGCGAGCGAGAGCGAAGTGAGAATGCCCCGACAAGTCACTTACCGGGTGCCTCCCCTGCGGGTACATCACTACGACCGCCGATGTCCGCCGCCGCCTCCTCCGCCGCCGCCGCCTCCGCTCTTGTTATTGTTGTATCCTTTATCCCGGGCGCGAGACGTTTCCGCAATGTAGCGAAGACTGAGCGCGCACACGAGGGCAGCAGCAGCAGCAGGGCCCCCTCCCACCCACCCACCACAACCCTTGCCCCCAAACTCCCACCCACACCCGAGCACACACACCCCCACCACCGCTGCTGCTGCTTAACTTACAACACGACGAAAAGCCCCACCCCCTCCCACACCTCCTGTAGCCCCGCCCTCCCCCCCCAAGTCTCCTAGCCCCGCCCTCCCCCCCAAGTCTCCTAGCCCCGCCCTTCCCCCCAAGTCTCCTAGCCCCTCCCAAGTCTCCTAGCCCCGCCCACCGCCCCTCCTCGTGTTCCTCTTGGTCGCGCGCGCGTGCACTGACCCCACCCCTCACTAGCCCCCCCCCACCCACCTCCCGCCAACGCACCCTCGCGCCTCGATCACCCGGCTTCCCCTCCCCTCAAATTTACCCCGCGAGTCTCGCGCCGGACGCTCTTTAACGCAACTCCCTCCCCCTTCGCCCCCCTCCCCCTTCGCGCCCCTCCCCCTCCGTCCCCCTCCCCCTTCGCCCCCCCTCCCCCCACTCCCTCCCCCCCACTTCGGCAGAGAGGCGCGCGCGCGAATTCGGACGCAGCGACGAGAGTTCTACCGCCACCGGTGGCGGTAGAACGGCGTTTCTACTGAGGGAGGGGTGAGAATTAAAAAGTAACGTTGTACACGGGACTTGCCAAGCACGCCATGTAAACTGCTACAGCCACAACATGGTCCCGCCACAAAACTCACGCTACGAAAACGAGATTTTTTTAGAAAAAAAAAACACCCCCTCACCCACCCCCACAATGAAATCACGACGGCTAAAGCTTGCTAGCCGTTGTAGTTTAACAAGCCTATTCGAACGTGTACGAGACAACGCAGACGGGTGAGAAGAGAGCGGTAATGAAGGCGTTTGCTATTCACGTCGGCGGCGGGGTAAACGAAGCGACGAGGAAGCAGCGAGCGAGCGAGCAAGAGGGGAGGAACGCGGCGGCCGCGACCGCTACGGGCGGGCGGCTGAGAGACCACACGCGGAATGATCACCCCCCGCCAGCGCCGCGCCGCTTCCGAAAACTCACGCCGTCAAGAGGGGGCGGGGCCTAGGAGAAAGTGGGCGGGAAGTTTGAGGGGCGGGGCTTAGCTGCGCTGTTGTGGGCGGAGCCTAGTGCGGAGGTGAGAGGGAGGGGCTAAGGCCTCTGATTTGCATGTCGCAGACGATTCTGACCAATGCCGTGTCCGCCTCGCGTGTCCGCCCCCACGTGGGCGCGTGACGTACGCGCGCAAACTCCCGCCAATCGCGTTTGATGAGTTCCGCCCCCACCCACCCTACCCCGCCGCCGTCGCCGTGGCTCCGCCCTCTAGCCCCGCCCCCCTCGCATAGCCCCCGCCCCGGCCTGCCCCCCCCCCCCGCCGCCCTTGCTTTCAGAAACGTTCGGGAAACATTCGGCAGCGGCTCTGGTCTGCTAGACACCGTTGCTTTGCCACTGATTGGAGTTACAAAGTGCAACGCACTTGCAACGCCAGTTGCGCAGCGAGCGAGAGAGCGTCAAAGAGAGAGAGAGAAATAAGAGTAGAACATTTAGGAAATATGAATAAGCAAATCAAATAGTTTTGTAGGGGGAGGCTGGGGAGTGGTGGAACAGTTGCTGGGGTTGGGGTAGGATGTCTCCCGGCTCTATATAAGCACTTGGCTGGGTGTCAGTCAAGGTCACTGGGGGTGCCGGTCGTGTTGACAAATAGCCGGCATGCCGAGGACCAGACTCCAATCGCCCGCGGAACGGCAGCTAATTAGGTTTCGATGCTTTACTGGGGTGTGTGCCCGCCGGCGAAGGCAATCTGTCACGTTTGGTCTCCGGTTAAAGAACGCACGCCTCGCACACACAGAGACACACACGCGCACACACAGATACACACACGCGCACACACAGAGACACACACGCGCACACACAGAGACACACGCGCACACACAGAGACACACGCGCACACACAGAGACACACACGCGCACACACAGAGACAAATGCGCACACACAGAGACAAACGCGCACACACAGAGACACACGCGCACACACAGAGACACACACGCGCACACACAGACACACACGCGCACACAGAGACACACACAGAGACACACACGCGCACACACAGAGACACATAAACACAGACAGAGACACACGCGCACACACAGACACACACGCGCACACAGAGACACACACAGATACACACACGCGCACACACAGAGACACATAAACACACACAGAGACACACACGCGCACACACAGAGACACACGCGCACACAGACACACGCGCACACACAGAGACACACGCGCACACACAGAGACACACGCGCGCACACACAGAGACACACGCGCACACACAGAGACACACACGCGCACACAGACACGCGCGCGCACACAGAGACACACGCGCAGACAGAGACACACGCGCAGACAGAGACACACGCGCGCAGACAGAGACACACGCGCGCAGACAGAGACACACGCGCACACACAGAGACACACGCGCGCAGACAGAGACACGCGTACGCGTTTGCTCGTATAGCCATTGACTGTTGCGAGGCAAGATCTGTTCGCGGGGCCACCGATCACGGTCCGGTTTACCAGACACGAAAGGGAACCGGCTTAGCGCCACGCCCAGCCGCCTTTGTATCCCCACAAATGGCGACGGTTCAATTTAAGGCTGAGTCGACCGAGCGGAGGAGCGCACGTGACCGGTTCGGATATTCGTCATCCCCCCACCACCCATCAGCAGAAGCTGCCATCCAAAAACACAAAGAATAACTACAATTTTACTGCCAACCTGCCGTGCCCGGAACAGTTGCATCGATTGAGGAAATGGGCCATTTAATGTCCATTTTAATTACAGTTAAAACGTGCAAGTGTCTCGGAATTGCGTGTGGTCAATTAGCGACACTTGCTTTGTGTTTAGAAAATATACGTTGTCTTTATTGCAACCCTCTTGGCAAATTGCAAAGGCCGATTGAATGAATGTTTTCAACGACATGGTGGAATGAATGGCGAATCTTCACAGATACAGTCAGTCAAAGCCGATGTGACAGCCTTATAATCTGCAATGGAGACCGAGGTGCGATGGTACAGGATCAGACACTACGCACGGTACATCAGGGTCATCGTTGTTAGCGATCACCTATTAAGGCCAGCACAGCTCAGATAAATGGTGATGTGGCCAGAAAAAAATATCTTGGCTGCCTTTGTCTCCCCAGTACAGTACTGATTGCAGCAGACGCTAATTTAAGGCTGAGTCGACCTATCGGAGGTCCAGGACTGGTTCAGATATCATTCCGCACAGATGGTAGCCATGGACAAAACTCGAACTCAGGTTCCCTAATTCGTACAATCGTAGATGACGCTTACCGCTTTGACACAGACATTGCAAGAGAAAGATCCCCCGTGTAACCTGAACAGACTGTTGGGGCCAAATGCTGTTATAGCGAGCACCTAGAGAGGCCGAGACGGCACACGGGGGAGTGGATGACCAGCACCACGTCCGGCCGCCTTTGTCTCTTTAGTGGCGATCTTTAAACTTCATACCAGGTACGGTACTTCTTTTAAGTCTAAGTCTACCTCGGGGAGGCCCAGGACCGGTTGAGATAATCGTCTCCAGTGGTTGGCCGTGAGCGGGAATCGAACTCGGGTGACCGAGGGGTTCCTAGTGCAGCGCGCGCTAACCACTGCACTAGCGCTCCCCACACACGCGGTGCACAAACGCGCAGATCACCCTTCCCAATGTTGGCAGCGATCGCTTTGTGGTCTGTGGACGTTTGACCACCAAACGTCCCGCACGACGACCGACCGGTGTTGAGGTACCACCCCACGGCAACAAACAAGAGACAGATGTACAAGCAGAAAGAAGAAGGCGAAAGCGATGCAGGAAAACTGACGTGTCACGAGACGCATTTATATTTTACGAATGACGCGCACGTGATCTACTGCTTTGTGTGAGTCCACCGCTGAATGAGAGGCATGCAGTGTTGGTTTGGTCATGGTGGGGTTTTTGTTGTTGTTGTTGTTGACCAAATACTTCGCGGGTCGGTTGCGGACTACCTCTTGACATTGATGTTAGCCGTGTATTTGGACAACAACCGCCGGAAATTTAACTCACGTCGCTGGTTTCATAGCGCAGTGCGCTAACCACTGCGCCACCGCTCCCCCCCCATACAATGACGCATGTGGCAGCATAATTCTTTGCGCAAACAGACGGCGCCACCTAGAGACGGGGATCATTGACGTCTTGACGCGGCATCTTCCTGTGGAAATAACACAACGCGATAAGACCTCGCTATCAGTCGCAACCTACAGCGTGTTCCTCCTTAAATAAATAATTAGCCGAAGTTTGGAGATTCACACGTCAAAGTCAGTGATGTCCTGCTCGAATGAGCATTGAGGTGACGGCTCATCTCCTGTTTACAGCCAGTGGAGTGGAGAAAATGTCACATACCTCTGGCAAGGGCGAGTCTTACCATAGTTGACTTATCCCACAAAGTGATGCATCGGAGGTATGATGAGGTACGATGGGCTGAGTCAAACAACAACCAGAATTTTAACTCGTAACCTTCAGATTGCGAGAAGTTCGCTCTTCTGCTGACTCGTCTGGCCTACGAATGGATACTGGTGAGATGTGAACTCCGTGTGGAACCATAAAGGTTGCATTCTTAATTGTTCGGACGTTTTGAAAAAAAAACTCCGTTATGTGTCTCCGTGTATATATACACAAATATTTTGGTCCATCAGCCTATTGGGTTTCCAGTTCAACAACATTATCGAGGAGCAATTTGTCAAGTAAAGTCTGGACCAGTTTTGACCTGTGTCTCATCAGAAGAGTCTGACTGCTGGTGAGACCCAGCAAAGATGTCTGGATTATATAGGTCTGGAAAGACGATAGGCCGATGGACAAAAACCTATCTTGTGGCCATACAGGACGGAGTTCTGCTGAAATATGTGTTTATCCACAATGCTCCGCAACAATGCATAACGATTTAGTTTTAAAGAGATATGTTTGTA